CAGCCTGTCCAGGTCTCTCTGGATGGCAGCTGGACTCCCAGTGGGACACCTAGACTGGGTCAAGGAGGGTGGGATCTTGCCTTCCCATCAAGTTCTCCTACCAGAAGGAGAGGGTGTAGTCACCCACGAAGGTCTCGCTCTCGCGCACCAGGAAGGTGCCATCCTTGCCGCCCGTCTCAGTGCAGTACTCGTGCAGCAGCTTCTCGGCGATCTGACGTCCATCACGGCCACCTCCCAACTTCCCATGGAACCACTTCTCCGTGAAGTGCATCTCGTTGTTGTTGAACTCCTGTAAATTCACCCCAAAATGAGACAGATGGTCTGGGGTTACCATCCTTCCCCTTGTCCCATGAGCACATCCCGCTCCACACACACCTCCTTCTGCTCCACCTCCTCCTCGTCCTCGTTGAACTGGTAGCGGGATGTCTCCTCTGAGTAGTAGATCTTGTTGCTTGTCAGGACGAAATAATGGGGGCTCCAGGTCTGGGAGGGAGGAAGAACATCACTGGGGTGGGGAGAAGATGGTGGAATGGAGGGACGGGGCTTTGAGATCTCAATTTCTGCCCCTGCCCCATTGTCCCATGGCACTGCAATGGTCTAGGAGAGCCCATGCCCCATGCCCAACACAAACCCTGATGCTCATCCCCCTCCAACAGACCCTGCTCACCCCCCAGCTGCCATCAACAGAGAGATCCTTACATGATCAATGGGGTCTTCAAGGTAGAGGATGCCATTCTTGATGGAGTTGCTGATGTCATTCTCTGAGTAACTGGCAGTGGAGACCTCCTCGTACAGGTTCCCTTCGACCAGTTTCTTGTGCTGGGGACAGCCCAGGCAGGGGAGCTCAGTGGTGGGTATGGTGTCCCCATCAAACTGAGCTCCCAGCCCTCAGGTCATGCTTGGGGTCCTACAGGTACCCCTCCACCACTCCCTGTTCCCCTTGACAAGTCTCTTGCAGCAGGACATCTCTCTGATGTCCTCCTGTGTGTGCACAGAGAGATATTGCTCTTGAGTCCCAAGATTTGAGATAATCACCATCCATCCCAGCCCAACATGGTCCTTGTCCCTCCCACAAAGAAGGTACCCACCACACACCTTGATTAGGATCTTCTTCTTCAGCTGAGTGGGTGAGGGCAGCTCATCAGCATTGATGTCCACTGGCTTGGTGAGTAGCATGTCCCCAAAGACCTTCTTGAAGTGAGAGGCCATGTTCCTCTGCTGGACAATGCTGCAGTGGTCTTCGATGGAGAGGATGATGGGGAACCTGGAAGAAGCAGGAGGGAACAGTGGCTTGGGATGAAGGTGAAGGAGAAGTTGCCTGCCTGGCCCATAACTGGGGTGTCGTTGTGGGGCTGGGGCTTACTCGGAGGTGACGAATGCATGCTCCTTGATGGTGTGGAGCACATCCAGGAACTTGATCTTGGAGGTGAGCGTATGGCCATGGTAGATGATAGGGAGATCGTCTGGGCCATCCCAACAGTCCACTGAGTGGGGAGACATCTCAGTTAATCCATGCTGGTCACTAAATGTGCACCAGGGACCATGTTTTTGCCCCCCTCCCACCAAAGGACATGGAAGACCCTCCCATCCAGTGCCATGGGATGGGTGCAGAGGACCATCTGATGGACCATGGGGTGCTGGGGAGGACTGAGCATCACTGCAGGGTGCTGAGGGACTCACACTCAATGCAGCGACAGCCCATGCGCAGGCAACGGGCGTACGCCTCCAGAGAGGACTCGCTGGAGAACTGATCCCCAGTTAGATACCTGCAGAGGAGAGAGAGGGACCATCAGCGGCCAGGGCTGCCCTGGCTGGGATGATGGGATGGTCATGGAGGTCCCTGAGGAGGACCCACCCTGTCCTTACGTGTTGTGGGAGGAGGAGATCCAGTACTGGGACAGGGGGTGGTTCATCTCCTCAGGCACCACGCGCTCATACTTGGCATCCATCACCATGTTCTCCTTGGAGAAGAGGTACGTGAGGAACTGGAGGGGGAAGGAGAGAGGTCAGAGCCTGTCAGGGATGGGGAGACACCCCTGGGTGGGTGCCATGTGGGGTCACCCACCTCATCCAACTGGAATGAGGGGTCTGTCGCCTCGCTGGAGTTCTCCTTGAGGTAGGTGCACATGTAGTCCCGCACCATGCCCACGTCGCTGGCCCAGGGTTCCTGGGGTGCAAACACAGCCACCATTACAGGGGGAACCAAGTTGGGTCATCTCATGGGACCTCTTCAGGGGTCTCTAAGGGCACCCACCTTCTGGTCATGTAGCAAGAACTTCTGGAAGTCATAGAGGGAGACTTGGCACAGCTCGGGGCGGTCCACGTTCCTGGGACACGGAACGGCCATCAGCGAGGACTGGGAGCAGGAGTTGGGGTAGACCCCATGGAGGAGTCCAGGCCACCAGTGTCCACCTGCAGCTCAGCCCCCTGATGTCTCCCACTCCTACCCCACTCCTGCCAGCTGTGGCAGCTGGCAAAGGGCTTGGGGATAGCACAGGCCATGGAGGTGCAAGAGGCACCTTGAGATGTTGGGTGCTGCTGGAGCAAATGCTCCCAGTGTCACCCATTCCTACTCACATCTCTACTCCCATCCCTGCTCATCCCTGCTCCCATCCCCACTTCCAACTCCACTCCCATCCCTGCTCCCATCCCTGCTCCCATCCCCACTTCCAGCTCCACTTCCATCTCTTCTCATCCCTGCTCCCATCCCTACTCATCCCTTTTCCCATCTTCACTCCCATCCCTACTCATCCCAGTTCCCATCTCCACTTCCACCTTTTCTCATCCCTACTCATCACTTTTCCACTCTCCACTTCCATCCCTACTCATCCCAGTTCCCACCCCTGCTCCCATCCCTACTCATCCCAGTTCCCACCCCTGCTCATCCCAGTTCCCATCTCCACTCCCATCCCTACTCATCCCAGTTCCCATCCCTACTCATCCCAGTTCCCATCTCCACTCCCATCCCTATTCATCCCAGTTCCCATCCCTGCTCCCATCCCTGCTCATCCCAGTTCCCATCCCTGCTCCCATCCCTGCTCATCCCAGTTCCCATCCCCACTCCCATCCCTGCTCCCATCAATCCTGTCTCTTCTCATCCCTGTTCCCATCCCTGCTCATCCTCACTCCATCTCCTCTTCCATCCCTGATCCCATTCCTGTTCCCATCCCCACCTCTCAGAACACCTTTGCCATCCCCACCATCCCCTCAACCCCAAGCCTGCCCCAACACTGGGAGATGCTCTGGAGATCCACACACCACCTGGACCTTCCAGTCCCCCCAGACTCTGCCCCACAGCCTGGCTGCATTGCCCATCTGATGGATCCAACCCATGGATGCTTGGCCAGGATGGGAGCTGCTGGGCTTCCAGGTACTCACCGCAAAGGGAAGGAGAGCTCCAACTGCTCGATGATCTGCAAGGTCAAGGAGAGGACCGGGATTAGCTGGCTGGGGACACACCACACCAGGCAGGAGATGCTTGGGAGGACAAGTATGGGCTCTTACCGACTTCTGTGCATCAAACATCAGGTTTTTGTAGAACTGGATGAAGTGGGAGAAAGTCATCTCGTTCCTGGCTTCTACCTCCTGCCGGAGAGGGTGATGCGTGACAGCAGGTCCACCCAACTAGAGCCAGTGACACCACAGCCAACTCCAGCCTGGCTATGGGGGCTCAAAGACCTTCTCCTCACATAGTGAGGTTGTCCAGGGTGGGGTCTTACCATGAGCTTATCCCGCAGGAACCTCATGTTGGGGACACGGTAGTTGACCTGGGGCAGCATGGCCTTCAAGTCCTTCACTGTGATGCTGTAGGAGGGCAAGCTGGTGTCAGGGCATCATCCAGACCCCACAGAGGATGGACAACCTGATCTAGTGGATGGTGTCCCTGCTCATGCTAGGGGGGCTGGAACTGGATGATCTTTAAGGTCCCTTCCAACCCAAACCATTCCATGGTTCTATGAGAACCCCCAGATAGGTCTCAGCTCTTGACACCAAGGTTCCCATCCCAAATTCTGGTGTCAATGTGGTCTCTGATGTGGGGCTCCTACCCTACCAGCCTGAGGACCCCTGCAGTGGCACAGGACCCCTAATTACATGGGGTCTGGCACGAGTATGAGTAGAAGGTCAGGGAGAAGGAGCGCATCCAAGAAGCAACTGGGTGCTCTAAACCATCATCCCACCTGGACATGATGACCATCCCCATGATCATTTAAGTCCAAATTAAATTGATTTGGGTTTTTTTCCTCTCTTGGGGAGATGTTTATGGACTGCATGAATGGTCCAGCCCCTCTTGGTGCTGGTGGAAGGTATGGGGGCATCAAGGTCCTCATGGTCCCTATAGCAGCAAGGAGAGGACCTGCACTTGAGTCTGATTTTCAATGCCTTTGAGCACCTTGTCCCACAAACCCCACTCCCATCCTGGCTTAGCCTCCAGATTTGGGGTGCAACTGGGGGGAGATGACCCTGTCCAGCCAAACCCACCAGTCTCTTCCTAGCATGGAGCTGTGGTGGTGCTCACCTGCCTTCCCGCGACCGGTCCATCCCATCAAACTGTTTACGCAGCCACCTGGGAAGGAAGGGATGGACAGATGGTGCTCAGCCCTGAAGGAGACCAAACCCAGAGGAGTTTTGTCCCCCTGACCTCTAAATGGTCTTTCCTCACCTCTCGATCTGCAGTGGAGTCTGAGCTTTTTGGGTGTCTGCCACCAGCCAGTTGAGACCTGTTATCCATAGGTTGATGTCCTCCTCGCAGAAAGCTAGAGGAAGAAAAGGAGGGTGATGAGGTTGGGATGAGGGAGATGGGATGCTGAGGTAGAGGTGAGAACCCAAAGGTGGTCAGGGAGAGTGGGGAGGGAGCCCACTCACCGGCCACGCTGAGTGTCCGCAGCCTGAAGTCCATCCCGTAGAGGATGATGAAGCACATGGTGAAGTCGAGCTTGCGAGCATCTTCGGGATAACGCTCGAAGTCCCGTGAGTTCTTCCCCAGGCGGATCTCCTTGATCTCCCGAATGTCGACTGCGAGGAGAGAGGGACATGAGACTGTGCCCAGCCACCATCCTACCACGGGCCCACCCACGTGTGGGGAGACTGCAAGAGGTGGGATTGCCAGGAGACCCCCCTCTAAGGATCCTTGTCCTTAGGATGGGATGTCCCCACGGCACTGCCCATGGGAATGTGAACGTGTTGTGGGTGCTGTGGCCATGTGTCCTCTAGGGAGATATGTCCCTGCTGCCCTGCTAGTGTGATGGCACCATGAGTACTGCATGTCCTTCAGGGAACTGCGTCCCCAGAATGGGACATCCTCGTGGCACTGCCCATTGTTGCCTGATGGCATTATAGGTGCCATGGTTATGTGTCCTCCATGGAATCATTTCCCCAGTGCAGGTTGTCCCTGAAGCACTGTTGCAAGTGGGTGGCAGCTTGATGGATGCCATGGCCATGTGTGCTCCATGGAACCATGTCCCCAAGATATGATGGCCCTGCAGCACTGCTGCAGCCGTGTGACAGCACCATGGGTACCATGGCCATGTGTCCTCCAGGGAGTCATGTCCCCAAGACAGGGCACCCCTACAGCACTGCTAGAGCTGTGTGACAGCACCATGGGTGCCATGGCCATGTGTCCTCCAGGGAGGCACATCCCTAGGATGGCATGTCCCTGCAGCACTGCTGCAGCCGTGTGACAGCACCATGGGTGCCATGGCCATGTGTCCTCCAGGGAGGCACATCCCTAGGATGGCATGTCCCTGCAGCACTGCTGCAGCTGTGTCACAGCAACATGGGTACCATGGCCGTGTGTCCTCCAGGGAGTCATGTCCCCAAGACAGGGCATCCCTACAGCACTGCTAGAGCTGTGTGACAGCACCATGGGTACCATAGCCACGTGTCCTCCAGGGAACCACGTCCCCAGAATGTGACGTCCCCATAGTGCTGCCCACTAGTTTGGCAGCTTTGTGGTTGCCACGTGTCCTCCAGATTCATCTTGGCCCATCCCAACCAGCACATCTCTCCCCTGCCTTCTCCTCCCTAGGAACAGACCCTGCTTTGGGACAGGTTGAGCTCATCTTTTAATTGAAGACATCTACCCAAAGGTGGCAATTTGGAGCTCTGGCAGCCAGCACTGCAGGGCGTTTCTTACTAGTTTGGCAGCTTTGTGGTTGCCACGTGTCCTCCAGATTCATCTTGGCCCATCCCAACCAGCACATCTCTCCCCTGCCTTCTCCTCCCTAGGAACAGACCCTGCTTTGGGACAGGTTGAGCTCATCTTTTAATTGAAGACATCTACCCAAAGGTGGCAATTTGGAGCTCTGGCAGCCAGCACTGCAGGGCGTTTCTTTCCTGCTAGGGTTGGGTTTCCGGACCCTGATCTTCCTCACTGCTCCACCATCCGAGGACATTTCCAACCCCTGGTTTTGCCAAGTGGACACGTTCCACTGGGATCAGAATCATAATTTGATTATATTATAATAACACTCAAAGTTGGTCTTGATACCATGAGTATCACCCTTGGGCAGCTTTGTCCTCTCAAGCTGAGGCATCAACAGCAGAAAGGGCTTTGTACGGCCAAAGGTGGCCAGACCACACCAGGGTATTGTCCTGCTGAGGAAATGGGTCATTTCCCGGAGAATTTCCAACCCAGCTGCGTTTCCGATGAGGCGACGGTGGGGTGGGGTGGGGAACGGTGCAGGCGTGCTGGTGCCTCCACAAAAAACCTTCAACCTAATCCAAAGAGGATAAAGAAAAACCAGAGATGGGGAAGAAGAAGGATTGAGGGAGAAACCGGGCTGATTAAGCAAGAAAAGAGGTGAAGAATCGTTTTTCTTGGTGGAAAAGCTCTGGAAAACACTGAAGGTTTGATCCAACCTTCCCTTCTTGGATGACCACAAGCTAAATTTCATGGATTGGGGTGGGATTTTATCATGGTTTTTTTAGAATAAATGATACACAGGAGGTCTATAACCCTACATGTCTCTGGTTTGGGAGTAGATCTCAAGAAATGAAATCCCATCGCTGTCTCCATGCAGCTCCCATGGCTTGGAGCAAACCTTCTATGGTACAAACAGGCAGATATTTTGAGGGAAAAATTGGTTTATAGGTTAAAAACCATCTTCTCATCCCCAAACTTGCTCATCCACAGAGAGGGGAGAGTAGCTGGTGGCCACCAGGGCTCTGCCAAGAAGTCACAATGCAGCCACCCCCTCAATTCAATGCCACCAGGGTCCAGCCTTGGGTCTGACCTCATTGCTGCCAATAATCACAGGATGGTTTGGGTTGGAAGGGACTTTTCAAGGTCACCTAGTTCAAACCCCCTGCAGTGACAGGGACATCTCCAACCAGATCAGGTTGCTCAGAGCCTCATCCAACCTGACCTTGAATGTTTTCAGGGATGAGGCTTCTACCACCTCTCTGGGCAACCTGGGCCAGTGTCTCACCACCCTCAGCATACAAAATTTCTTCCTTAGATCTAGTCTGAATGTCCCCTCTTTCAGTTTAAAACCATCACCCCTTGTCCTGTCACTACAATTTGTCCCCATCTTTCTTCTAGGACCCCTTTAAGGCTGCAAGAAGGTCTCCCTGGAGCCTTCTCCAGGCTGAACAGCCCCAACTCTCTCAGCCTGTCCTCACAGCAGAGCTGCTCCAGCCCTCGCATCATCCTGGTGGCCTCCTCTGCACTGGCTCCAGTAGGTCCATGTCCTTCTGCTGTTGGTGGCCCCAGCACTGGAGGCAGCACTGCAGGTGGGGTGTCAGGAGAGCGGAGCAGAGGGGCAGAATCCCCTCCCTCCACCTGCTGCCCACGCTGCTCTGGGTGCAGCCCAGGAGATAACTGACTTTCTGGTCTGTGAGTGCCCACTGCATGGTCATGTCCAATTTTTCACCCACCACTAGCCCCAAGTTCTTCTCCACTGGACAAATAACCCGACCCCGTGAAGAGCTAGAGGAAGAGGGAGCGGTGCAGGGCTGCACAATACAACACGGCTGGTGGCTTCCTGGAAACCACATCTGCAGTGGATTTGCAGAGATCATGTCAGAACTATGTCTCCAAACTCCTCCCTACATTGTCTCAGGGGTCCCGTGCAGATTAAAATACTCTGGAAGTTGATTCCAGCTGTGAAAATCCTTTTTCTATTCTAATGTAAAGTGAGCAACGTGGTGCAAAGAAGGTTTGAAATCTAAGGATGGTGAGAAGATGATGTAGGAGCAGGGTCTGCCCGGTGGCTTTTAAGGATGTTGAAAGTTTGGGAGTTTTATTAATGGATTAAGAGGAAAACAAAGGAATGTGGCTGGAGGGAATGGTTGTGCTGGGAAATCCCACTAGCCTGGGCAGATCTGTGGTGGGATGAGCTGTGTCCTCTTGTGTTCACCTCAGTCCTTCCTTCTCATGGGACACGGGGCAGCTCAGACCCTCCTTTATGGTGGGGACATCCCCCAAGGTTCTTCATGCTGTTGTGAAGTTGATTTAAAATTTGAAATAAAAGATTTCCTCTTGATCCAGTGGCATTAAACCCCATCTGGATTTTCTCATCCCCAAATGATCCTATTTCTAATTATTTGGTGTTAACGAGGCTGGAGGTGTGATCCCAATTAACCATCATGGTGACAAACCACCCTCCTGAAATACTCTTGGGTTTGCCAAGTTGCCTTCACCCCTAATTTCTTTTAATTTCTTACAAAAATCCCTTTTTGGCCTGTTTTCTGCTAAATTTCATCCTTGGAGACCAGGTGGTTGAGGGCAATGAGCTGGAAACTCTCCAGCATGAGGTTAATTTTGGAGGCGATGCTACAGGTGACCCCATCAACATGGACACGTGTCTGTTGGTTGCTTAACGAAGCGTGTAATTAGCCTGCATGGTACAGAGCTTCTAGGGAGAGTCAAGATCCATGTCCTGGCCTTGTTAGTCCCTAACAGAGACATTAGAGCTGTCACTTGTCCCCACTAATCCCTCTGCAAGCGGGATGCCTGGTTGAAGAGGATTTTGAAAATGGTCCCGACAGGCGTGAGATCGGACACGGGGTGGAAGCAAAACCTTTGGGGATGAACCAGAGATCTCAGAGCTTCCATAAAATCATAGCAAGCAGGGGGAATATGTAAACATGGAGTAAAAGTGGAGCAGGGAGTGAAGATGTTCCAGTCCAACATCAAAACCAGGATTGTTCCCACTCAAGAATGAAGGAAGCGAGTGGTGGGGTTGGATGGCAGGATTGGATCATTTCCAGGGAGTTTCTCCTTCTTTTTTTCTTCTTCCTGGATGATCTCAGAGGATGTTCACTAATTCCCATGGTGGGGTTTTGAGCTGTTGCATGGGAGAAACCAGACCTCAAGACATCAGTAGGGAAACTGAGGCAGGACATTGGGAGCAACCTGAGACCCAAACCTGGCAGCGTGCCGTGCTCCTGAAGAAAACCAAGGAGCTGGGAACACATTATTGCCATGAGTGGAGAAGGAGATTTTCTCCATGAGGATGAAAATCACCTCTCCAAAAATGGGTGATCTTCCTCACCTCACCAGTCCCTCCTCCTCCTCCAAAGATCTACTCCCAGGCCCAGCAGGTCTGGACAAGCACTTGTGCTGTTGTTCATCTCCAGGTGCCACCCTCCTTCACAGCTCAAAGCTTCACCATGGCCAGTAGCTCAGCTTGGAGTTGACTTCTCCAAGCAGGAGCTGGACTCTCCTGGAAATTTTGCTCCACCTTGTACAAAATCAGCAATAGGTGGTGATTTTGGGGTGAGTAATTCAGTGATTTTTAAGGACAACCCCTGAGTCCTCCTAGGGAAAATGTACCTGTCACCTCCCAAGCCTCCAAGGTGGGCTTTAGCATCATCTAGGTGAGATGTTACACCCAAACTGGGTTCCTCTCTGTGTGAGGCTGTGGGATGAGGTGATGATATGGCTCTGGGTCACCTCAACTCTGTGTTTTCATCCATTGAGTGTTTTTAGCTCAATTTAAGAGGAGGTGGAAGTCTGGAGCAACTAAGTAGTGAGCACCAAGGCATGGAGCCCCACCAATATCTGGCAGTGTGTGTATGCCCCAACGATCTACTAGCCACCAGTGAATCTACAAGGAAGGGTGATTTATGGAGCATCTCCCATGCCAGACCCCCAGTGCTACCAGTTCCCACCAGTTCAGACACCATCCAAAGTTTGCATTGATGTCATTAATGCTCTTGGCACAAAGACCAGCTGGCCAAGTCCTCTGTGGGTTGCATGGGGCCACCATCATGCTCCATCTCACGCTGCTGCCTGCCCCAGCAGCCTCATCACCTCATTTTTGGGGTCAAAAGCACCTTCAGCAGATGAAGTGGTGGCCAGGTCCTTTACCTCCTTGACAAAAAAACCCCTGAGGATGAAATGGTGGCAACTTGACCCCTATGGCAACTCATGGGCCACATGAGTTGGGATGGAAGAGGTGAGGGTTGCCCAGTGCAGCAGCTTCTGCATTCATAACTCTGGGCATCCCACCATGGCAGAGCACCCCTCCATGTCCAGGCACACCACCATGGCCAAAGATCCCACCATGGCCAAAGACCCCACCATGGTAGGGCATCCTGTTGCACCTGAGCACCCTGCTATGTCTGAGCACGGCACCATATCTGGGCATCCCACTGTAGCTGAGCACCCCATCATGGCCGGGCATCCCACCACAGTAGGTCATCCCACCATGGCAGGGTACCTGATCACAGCCAGACACCCCATGGCACTCCACAACCAGACACTTCATCATGGTTGGACAATCCATGTCCAGGCAGCCCACTGAGTCTGGACATCTCACCATGGTAGGGCATCCCACCACAGCTAGGCACCCCACAGCCAGGCACCCCACCATGGAAGGACATCCCAACGTGGCCAGGCACCCCACAGACAGTCACCCCACCATGGTAGGACTTCCCACCATGGCCAGGCACCCCACCATGATAAGACATCCCAACATGGCCAGGTACACCACAGCCAGGTACCCCACCACAGAAGGACATCCTACCACAGCTAGACACCCCACAACCAGTCACCCCACCATGGTAGGACTTCCCGCTATGGCCAGGCACCCCACCATGGTAGGACATCCCACTATGGCCAGGCACCCCATAGCCAGTCACCCCACCATGGTAGGACTTCCCGCTATGGCCAGGCACCCCACCACAGTAGGACATCCCACCACAGCCTGACACCCCACAACCAGGCACCCCACCATGGTCGGACATCCCACCACAGCCAGGCTCCCCATAGCCAGGCACCCCACCATGGTCGGACATCCCACCACAGCCAGGCTCCCCATAGCCAGGCACCCCACCATGGTAGGACATCCCACCACAACCAGGCACACCACAGCCAGGTGGTGGCCATCCCACAATGTCCCCAGCCCCCAGCACCGCTTCCACTGATACTCACTGTCTCCTTCCACCTTCTCTGGCGTCCGGCTCCAGATGATCTGCCGAGTCTCCAACTTCACCTGGAAGGTCCTTCGTTCTGGCCTCTGTGACTTCTTCTGATAGAACAAGGTGAGGACTGTACCCATCTCCAGGCAGCGGAGGATCCTGCCCATGTCCCCTGCCTCCATCCTGTTGTCCTCCAAAAAGCCATTGACGCTGTTGAGCCTGGCCATGGACATCTTCACTGTGTGGCCATCGCCTGGCAGAGCTGTAAATCCAAGGTTGTCTCATGCAGGAGAAGATGAAGCAAAAGAGTTGAAATCTCCTCAGGGATTTTCTCCGTTCACCCCGGGTGTGGGTTTCCTCTACGGCCGACGTCTCCTCTGCCGCACCACGGTCGCAGCACGGAGCTGGGCTGGGCAGAGGTGGGATGGAAAAGGGTGGGTTGGAGGTGCCACGACCTTCTCACCAGAGGTTGAATCCGACCCCAACGTTGGCATCCAGCGGTGGTGGAAGAAGATGAGCAGTGGTG